CCCTTTTACAAGATTTCAACCCATGAGATTTAATTCTTGCCAGCACAACGGAGATGGGATTTGATTTCAACAGGTTGGTCCAAGTGCACATGCACTCTCCCTTACATTAATTAGTATTTGTACATACTTGGTACTTTTACGTTTGCTTTCATTAGTCAATATTGCTTTTTCTTTTTCTTTTTTTTTCCTAAACATAAGCTGAAATGCTTTCTTTTTCTATTTTGTGCTCTATTCATGTCTCATAAATATTCTCCACACAAACATTACCATTAGAAGCCAGTTGTGGCTTCACAAATTAAGAAGCACAAACAAAAAATTAGTCATTCAAAATCCACAATGACGGAATCAAAATAGAGTAATGTGTGGATGAATGGGGATGCAGCCGTGTTTATCCACTTTTCTAATCGCTACGTTATCTTCTTTGATGTTAGTTTATTTATTTATTTATTTTATATTAAAAAATTAATTATCTGATATAAAAAGTTTAAACTTTTACTTTTAATTTTAATTTTAATTTTAAACTTTGAAATTAATTAATATTTTAAATTAAAAATTTAAAATTAACAAGTACTAATTTAATGTCCAGCACTTGGTAGCTCAATAATCACTCTCTTGCAGGACGTGCTTATAATTAAAGAACTTGAGATCAAATCACAAGTCTCTCTTTTCCATCCCCGAAAAAAATTTTATACTGTTAAAAAAAAAAAGAGTACTAATTTAATTAATTTTTTATTAATTTCTTGTCCATTATCCGGGCATCTCGGTTTATTTTAACTGCGGGGACGTACATGTTGCTTACACGTTAGGCTTTTTTTTTTTTCTTTTTTTTTTGTTAAACACGCTTTTTTGGTCCTTCAACTATTATATGGACCCTCAATTGAGTCCCTCAACTCAAAAAATTCCTGATTCGGTCCCTACTATTTGTCATTTTTACCCTAATTTAGTCCTTCCGTTAAAAATCTCTCTATGTGTATTGTTAATTCATGGTAAGATGATGACATATCAAAATATTAATCCACCTAGAATACAACATGGCAAAAAATAGTGACAAGGCAAAAAAATAATAATATGATAAAAAACTGAAAAAAATTCTTTCTTTTTCCTTTTTCCTT